TTTTTTTATTTTTATTTTTCTCTCTGTAGTCTAAAATAGATCTTTTACACTCTACACTTACCTATGGCCTACCTTAATGGACATTCAATTGTAAACATTTTAAGAATCTTTGTGATAAAAATAAATTAGACTATATGAGATGTTTCCAAGATACTATAGTCGACATGTCAGAGGTTTCACTTTTCTTTTTAATTAGTACATGAGGGTTTTACATATTTATGGAGTAGGGGGTGAGATTTCGATATGTGTCTGCAAACGGACTGATGGAATCAGAGCAAACAGCAATTCCATCTCCTTATGACCATTTTATGTTTGAAAGCTTCAAGTTCCTCTCTTCCAACTCTTCCTAAGAATGTATGTTAGGATATTGGGAACTACAACCACCATAGTGGCTGCCTGGGAATCATTCTTATCTGTGTTTTGGTACCCAGTATCCAGCATCCTGCCATCTGTCTCCACGTTACCCCATTCTTCACTCTGATAATTGCTATTCTGTTTTTACATTCCCTTGTTTGGGGGGTAAACACATGATATTTGCCTCTCTGTGTCTATAAAGACTTGAATTTTTTAAACGTCAATACTATATATAAATGTGAATAGTATTTTACATTCTTAACCAAAATTATTCTTTCACATTCTAATTACTTATTTTTTCTCAATACAGAACTAAGTAACTCGGTTTTCTGAATCATAATAAAAAACTGAAGTTAAAGTTAGATTTTCTCCCCCAAGTAAAGCTAGTCACTTTGTAAATAATACTTCATGAGGAGTGTTCATATGGTAATTTCACTACATTGTTTCTGAGAAATTAAATTTGAATTTGTTTTTTTATCCTATAAAACAAGCTACTTGAATGCTTCTTTTATTTTCTTTCTCTATACAAATAAAGTTGTGTTGGGGTCTTACATGTACTATTTTTCAGTTTTTGATATCTTTTATTTTCTTTTTTAAGTGCACCCATGTCGTGCAGTGCCTGTGGAGGACAGAAGAGGCTGTCAGATCCCCTGGGACTAGAGTTACAGACAGTTGTGAGCTGCCATGTGGGTGCTAGGATTTGAGCCCAGGTCTTCTGCAAGAACAGCCAGTGTTCTTTACTGCTGAGCCATCTCTCCAGCCTCCAGATATCTTTTATTTTCTAAGAGATAAATTTGATGATATTTTCAGTGAAAATTTGTTTAAAGCCATTTTTGAGAATTTTAAACATGCTATTCTTGGTATAATCTCCTGTTTCTGTGAAATGTATTCCTAATAAATACAGGAAAGAGCATAATCCTCCTATGCTCCTATGATATAACTTCAAGAAAACACTTAAATTTTCTTTTTGTTTCTCCTTTTTGTTCAAAGGTCTTGGATGGTATACTGTAAATTCAGCATACGGAGATACCATCATCATGCCTTGCCGACTTGATGTACCTCAGAATCTCATGTTTGGAAAATGGAAATATGTAAGTCTGAGCTGCCTGGGACTTGGTGAATTGCCTTCAGTTTTTAAAATAAAATTACTTTTGTGACCACATGTTAATGTTATATTGACATAAATGATGATATTTTCACTCATGGTTACCTTTATAGGAAGAATTACTGCATTGAATATGTCAATAAAATTCATATTTACATTAAAAATGCTATTTTAAAAATAAACCTAATAACACATAATCCGTAGGTCACCTTTGTCTGAAAAAAATCATTCTTATTAGTGGCAGAGGAAAAGGCAGGGTTCCAGAAAAGAACTAGTGACTGTAGAAGAGCATTGTGAAGGAAAGTAACCTTTCTGCACTTGGTCTTCCCATGAGACGGGGTTCCCGCAAAGGCAAGGTGTATTAATAACCGCAGTATCCAGACATGCACTGTGGACCACCAGCAGCTTTGTTTCTGCTGTTGATCCTTGAATTGAGTGTTGATAGTATAGGTGAGTTTAGCAAATAGCATCGTTGATATTATCTCTTACTTACATATATCTTCATCTTATTTTGCCAGGTACAGAGGTACAGATGGGTGCATAAATGGGAGAGTAGAGATCCTGATAGGTGGATATAGTTGTCCAAAAGCTATTTGCATAGTGCAGTTTTCCCATGCTGGCCACAGAAGCCTTGCAACAGTGTGCAAGCTTCAAACAGACAGACATTTCTTGAGATTCAATAGCAAGGTTGCTCTTAGGTCTCTGAATATATGCAGATGTTTGCATAGGGAAGGTAGATGGTGACCAGATGATTTATTATTTCTTTATTGCAACATTTCTTAGAGCCATCTATATATTAAAATAGATTATGAACTGTATGAGGCCTTAGTTTGACTAATCTGTTAGGTTTATTTGACCATGAACATTTCCTAAAATTTAAAATAAATTCTGCTAAATACACGTTAGCTAATGTGCTTAAGCTTGCGGTCTAACGGTGAACAAATGAGGTCTTTTACAATGTGGGCCCTGAAATCAAACCAATAGGTTCTACCATGGGTAGGAGAATTGAGCATATTTTCTCACTATGATATGAGATAATATCTTCCTCATAGTGTTTTTGTGAGGGTTAAGTGATTAACTCATAGCAAAATACTTACTAGTACTTGTCAGGTATCAATTGATTTAAAAAGCCAGCCACTACAACTTTGGTTTTCAAATTCCTGGTCACATTGTGCTGTGTGAAAGGTACATGAAAAGAAAGAGAGGAGGCAACACAATGCAGCACTTCTGTCCTCATTTGTCATGTCACTCTAGATAATTCTGAACTACTTCTAGTTCACTATAAAGATGGAGGAGTGAAGTTCAGGACAAGATCTATTAGCATCACTCAAGGTCCAAGAGTCCAGGGATCTACCATATAATTCACCCGATGAACCGAATTTACTATCAAAATAAATGGAATCAACTGAGGGGCGGGGCAGGAACTGTGTAAGCATAGGGAATAGTTTTCACACAAACTGATTTGGTACAATAACACTGGAAACCAATCAATAATGCCAATTTTCAAATTGTTAGTTGAGCAAAAAGCTCCAGGAATGAATTGATGAGATGCATTTGAGTTCCTCTCAAGTCAGCATTGATTTGCAGAAGTAGTGTACATGCTCTAATTTAATATAACCACCTGAAAAAAAGGTACAGGCTATGGAGAAACTGAAAGTAAGCAAATGTAAGGAGAGGAAGGGTTAGTTTGTCCCCATCACTGTAAACTTCCCAGGAATGCAGACCATAGTTGGCCGCTGATCCCAGTCTCACCCCTTACCCTCTTCATTAGCAAGTGCCACAGTGCCTGGTCCAGAAGAGGAATCCAACCACCATCAAGATTAGTGCATTTACTCATAAAAGTGTCCACTCTGAGCCCACATGTCAACTCTGGTGAGGTTTACCAGTGGGGACCTTAGGAAGTCACTATATGAAATGCTGCCTTCGTCGGCTAATCTAAAATTACACGATTCAATGCTCAAACCTTAACAGTTATTATTTACTGCAAAAGAGAATGCATATGGAACCTGAAGGTATAATGTTAATAATGAGAAGATAATTTAAGGCAAGGATTTATATTGTAAAACTATGATGGAAATAAAAGATTTAAGACAAATATGTATCAGTGTATATGCATAAGCATACACGCATGCATAAGAAATGAAAACTTTTGCACTCCTAGATAAGCTTTGTTATCGCAATATTTTCTTTAAAATAACTAGGCATCTTTAGCATCTTAAAACTTATCATGCCTTTTTACATCCTTTATCATACTTCATATTCTCATAAACATAAAATTTATGAGTTAAATATAGGGGGTGGCCCTTATTTTAGGCTAATTATCTTATTATGGAAAGGAATTTTTATAGGACCAGAGGATGAAAGGCATATATATATATATATATATATATACACACACACACATATATATATGGTATAGATAATGATGTCTCACTGTTTTGTGCACTGTTTTTCATGCCAGATTATATATTACTTTAATAATGCTTTCATGTGAAAGATTTTTGAGTTTGGATTTTGACTCAGATGTGAAACTGAGGATTTCAGTTCTTAATCTGGTTCTTGTTTCTTGAAGAGGATTATTTTCCCTGGGGTGAATGCTGCTCCTCCATGGGGACTGATTACATGGTGGAAAGTTCTGCCATACCAACGCTGCTTAGCAAATGTGAATGTTTAAAGCATGGGGATTAACGTAACGAACATGTCAAACATAACTGCCCAAGACTCTTATGGCAATATACAAAGCTCATGTGTATAATCACTTTGGTGGTTTTCTGAACATCATTTTTGTATAGTTTTATATTTGTTTTTATTACTTTTAAATCACATAGTAAACGAGACCTCCCCTTGTCTATTTCAAAGCAAAAACTGAATCTGTTCGACTGATGTGAGAAAAGCTCTGAGAACTCCATCCTTTCTCTTTCACCCTTGTACAAACAAATAAAAGAACTTATAGCTTCCTTCAGGTAAATTTCTCTCTATGAGCAAAGATTTACAGAAGGTGCTACCCCAAATTATTTTTTTGGACAAAAATAATACATATTTATGGAATAATATGGCAAAGGAAATTTATTATTCTGAAATGTGTAAAGATGCTTGTTTTAAATACATATTGTTATTTTAATTTTTAGGAAAAGCCCGATGGGTCCCCAGTATTTATTGCCTTCAGGTCTTCTACAAAGAAAAGTGTACAGTATGATGATGTGCCAGAATACAAAGACAGACTGAGCCTCTCAGAAAATTATACCTTGTCTATCACTAATGCAAAGATCAGTGATGAAAAGCGATTTGTGTGCATGCTAGTGACCGAGGACAACGTGTTCGAGGCACCTACACTAGTCAAGGTGTTCAGTAAGTAGACTGCAGTAGACCTGCTAAGTGATGTTGATACTGGTACAAGGAAATGTTCTTCAGAAAGAACCGGAGCTCTCTGTAATGTCTCCACAGCAGGAAACGACATAAGGGAGTTTGGAGAGCTCTTCCTCCTGCATACTGTCAACAAAGAAGACAAACCCTGAAATTCAAATAGGAGATTTGCAGTGAGGAGCTAGAACAATCCTCTCTGGGTTTTTTCGTTTGGTTGTTTTGGTTTGGTTTGGTTTGGTTTGGTTTGGTTTGGTCTGGTTTTTTTTCCTCATGTAGTTTTTTTTTTTTTTTTTTTTTCTGAGAAACAAAGAATTGCTATTGAAAACTGGCATATGATCTTTAACTTCCATTGATTTATACAAATCAATATTTTATAATACAGATAGATTGACAGATGATACCTATATAATACATATGCATAATATATATGCATAATACATATGCATACATGTTGGGCTGAACCATCTGAAATTTTCATTTCAATGTATAAAAAAATACAATGTAAATTCAATTCTTATGATCTAGAGAGCCAAGCATTTGGTTTTATTTATATATAAAACACATACATATAATATACACATTAGAATATATGTATGTACATTGTGTATATGAATATGTGTATGCATGTATGTTCTGAACTTCAGTGCTTACTATAGTGCTCACCTGCTTTAGAAAATTGCTTTAAAGTAACAAATCTAAGCAAATTAGCAATGTTCATGAGGCAAAGGGGATACACCAGGGAGAGAGAATAGAGCTATAAGAAAGAAGATTGCAAAAGAAACTTGATGTAATTACTATAGTCACTGTGGAAAAGTTACTTTGACTTATAATAATATATAGTTAATGTTACTGTGCAAATCAATGACTTAAGATGTTTAATTAAAGCATTTTATCTTGTAAGATTCAAAAAAAAAAAAAGTCCCACCTCAGTTACAGCATAATGTTTTAGAAATTACAGGAGAAAAAAAGTAGGCCTCAGAGGTTTCAGGATACTACTCTTTTTAAATTAGGAAGAAGGTCTTACTTCCTGCCTCTTTTACCTCTGCCTTCTGATAACTTGACAGCTCCTAGAAATTATTAAAATAAATAGTGAAGAAAGAAACCCAGCGGACCTCCAACTGGAGCAACTAACTGTGGATTTTTCCTGTTTCTCTTGTAATAACCTATGCAACTAAGGAGGTCTGTCCCTTAAGTATTTAAGCAGACTTCAAAGCTCCAATGGGTTCATGATGTGGATTCAAAGAGTGCTAATACTATCAAAGGAAGCCTTTGTTCTCCAAAAGAACCTTGTAAAAGCATGTTACATGTTTCAGGTCATTACCTTTTAACTTAGATGGCACTATCTGTACTTCTCAATCATTTTTCAATGAAGTCAAGTGTCAACTGTTTACTAGTCCTGCCTACTTCCACAAAACACTTGAAATTATTAGCATTTTGTGTTTGTCCAAATCCCTTGTGGCTTTTTGCTTTCATTCTTCTAATTTTCTTTTACTTTGCTATTCTTAGAGAGATGAGTCATACACACCTAAGGACACTTTTTCACAAGGACAGAACAAAAACAATATGATAGGCTATGATTTCATAAATATCAGTGGGCACCAAGAATATAGGTAGGATACCTCACAGCATTCTAATCATTACGCAAATTATTTGGCCATTTTCAGGTTTCTTTACACTTCCTTGGAATTACTGAATAACAAGGTAGTACCCAAAGTCAAGAAAAATCCAAGTTATATTTAGAAGAATTATTTGTGACATTCCAAATTTTCTTTCTTTTAAACTGCTATGTAGAAAATCTAAAAATAAAAAAGTCAATTGATCTAATTTAATAAAATCTTTAAGCTGCTTTAGAATACAGAGGATATCTGTAATGGTGAAAACAAGTTCACATGCCACATACCGCCAGGACCCCTGCCCCCCTTCCCTTTTGAATGTTGTTGAAAACAAAGTGATTCTCAGAAACAGAATTTGCATTCCAGGCTGTGGGCCAGGGAAAATTTACATAGACAAGTTACACACTCTCGAAAATGATGTTTTATACTAGAAACTGTGACATCCTCCAAGCCCAATAAAATGGACAGCATCACTGGTCACGAATATAGTGTTTACAGGATTATATAGGAACCTTGAATCTTTTATTTTAATCATGAGTATACCTCAAGGCACCTTTGGTGAAACCAACAGCAGCTGTGGCAGAGAGACTTTCATTCTGTGCGTGTATATATTACCGTCACTTAAGAGTTACTGGGCTGGTCAATCAGGCCTCTGTTTCCCTCTGTTGAATCACCTAGCAACGTCAACCGTGTACCACTGAATCAAGTGTGGCTCCTGTGAGCCAACCACAGATCAGCCTTCTGCAGACTGCCAGCCTCATGAGCAAAGTCAAACTGTTTTTATTCAAGCCATAAGACCTGACTGACGACTTTACCTTCAATGTAGGTTTGTTTGTTGAGTTTTAAACTACATCTCAGTTGTAAGAAATTGTATCTGCAAGCCAACCTAAGTCTGAGCAAGTAGCATGCTTTGTCACCACTAATCAGCTCTTGAATGGCATTAAAATCAAACTGCCTTTGCATTTAGTGCACAGCTGAGGCTAATAAAACACTTTGGAAGCAAGATTAGACCTTTGAAAGTTCCCAAAGATTCATTCCAATGATTATGCAAAAGGCTCAGAGGTCAAATGGGTACCCAGAGAGCCAAATGACTGTCAGTGTTGAGATGGAAAAATCACTGAGCTGGTTACCAGAACACCTTGCTTTGTCAAGGCTGCTACCCACTTCTGACCTTGGCAAACCTCTTCACCCACCTGAGGTTAAAATGACCTCTTCAGTAAAATGAATGCCTTAGATTACGTAGGAGATTTTTTCAATCTGAAACAGTGAGAATCTTAGAGATCCTCTCCAGGAGCAGGGTTGGGGAAGGTAAGAAGTAGTTTCTATTCAAGTAGTTAGTCTTCTGTTAGCTTTCTCAGCCATTCACAATAATTTGGTCTTTTTTCACTTTAAAATTTTTTTTTGAGAATTTCATACATGCATATAAGGTGTTTTTATCAAATCCATGCCCACTCCCTCTTCTCCAATTCCTCCCGTATCTTCCCATCACTTTTTCCTGAACAACTTTGTGTGCTTTTAAAAAATTTTTTTTATTTAATAATCACATGATTAGAAGAACCATTTCATTACAGCTTTAACATATTCAGTAACACATTCCAGAGCAAGGATACATCTCTTTCAAAGGTGCCTGTAAATTTTTAGGTTCATAGTTGAATTAATACAGTCATACAATATTGAAATGGGGCTTTTTGCTACTCTAACATTCCCCCTGCTGAAGAGGTAACCCTAAAATGTTTTAGGGATTAGATAAGAGCTCCCAAATACTTTTGACATTTTGGGCCTTTGGAACAGAGTACGTTGCTAAGAGGCTCAAGGACATTTTGATTTTTAGCCAAGAAACTGGATACTTTTCTTTGGGATTTTTTTACCCTAACTGCCTAGCCAATTCCTACGTCCTATTCTTATCACACTATCCCCCTGAAAAGTTACCCAAATTGCCTATAGGGAATCCAGATGCATACCACTCTGGCTTCTTTTATGCTGAACAGGGACACAGGGAGGCAATGGGAGTACCCCTTCAGCGGATCTATCTAAAAGACTCCAAATTGCATAACTCTTAACTGTAGGGAGAAAAGAAAATCCTTGACTGGTGCCTAGGAGCTGTGAAGAAGTAAAGGCAAGAGTGAAAGAAAAGCAAAGGCAGTTGCAGCTACTTAGTACATGCAGAGCCAGAGTGGAGAACATAGGAGGAACCGCCTCCATTTTTTAACAGAAAATGGATCGGCTCTAAAGGACCTTTTGAATTGAGCCAGGTACCTGTGCTCCGATGGTATTATGTGATATTATAAGAAAGCCTGTTCTTAGGCTGTAGGTCCATGAACAAGTGGTCTAGTTTTCAAGGTGCTAGCCAGTGTCTCAGCTCCATAAAGGGATGCCGGGGCTCCTGTTGAATACTACTGTCAATGTTTCATTGAATTGGAAAATTGAGAGTCCCTTTTCCCTCCTCACAAAAAAATCATTCAGCCTGAAAATAATAAATATTTCCAAAGGAAATGAAGTAGAAAATGATGAGTGTTTAACAAATAAGGTTAAATTATACATTACAGCTTGTTTCTTTGGGGAGGGTAGTTGAGACAGGGTCTCATGTAGTTAAGGCTATGTCTCAAATTTTCTATGTAGCCAAGGCTGCCTTGAATTCCTAATCCTCTTTCCTCTACTTCCCAAGTACTGAGATTATATATGCACATCACTATACCCAGTTCACATTGACTTTTCAAATACTAAAAGATACTTTTGCCTATTTAATAAGAAAAATGCAACATTGGTCTGTAGACATGATAGCCTAAGTGGTTTGTGATTTGTGAGGAATTTGATTGTCAACAGGGATTGGAGAACCTTCAGCAAATACCTTACCATGGTATTTGCCTCTCCTTCTTCTTCAACAGCAAACTAATATATCCTGTGTGGTCTATACAGTTATTCTAGAATACCATGGTTGAATAAGAGTAGTTTTACATCCATTACTATATCATCACATGTCTATGAGATGACTAGCTATCAAAAATAGAAATTTTAGTAAGGTGTTGACTTCCAGCTTTTCTGAAAGTCAGTATTCATAACATTCACTTAATATAGTCTCAGAGTTAGCATTAGAAAATAGGAGATGTACTTTAGTATATTTATTCCTAATGAGTCCTTAAATTCTTACAACAATTTCCTTCTCCTGAAAAATCTGACATAAGACAAAAATTATAGATGGAAAAGCAAGGCTTCTTTTCCCAAATGCTTGAAATTGCACTACATTTTAAATCTAGGTTAGCTTTTAATTATTTATGATGTCCTTAAAGAATATTAGTCCTTTGTTTTTGTTGTTCTTATTGTTTGCCTAAACAAATCATTTCAGCCTTGGAATTACAGTCCATTGTTAGACACTAGTACATGATGCTAAATATAAAAAAAAGAGAGAGAGAGAGAGAGAGAGAGAGAGAGAGAGAGAGAGAGAGAGAGAGAGAGATCAAAGTACTGTTCTGTTGTACTTAGGGTTTTCCAATGATTATTATATGATTAGTTTTTTAAATCTCCCTGCCCTACAATTTTAGGGTACCATGTGGTGGCCCTATGAAAATTTACTTCTAGCTGCTTCTATGAGATAGGCCATCAAGGAAGAAAACTATGAACTAAGGCAGAGTTTCACCAATTTGATATGTGGTTAGTGAATGACTTTGGATTGTTTATTCATGAAAGTACTGAAGAAAAAATTGGCTTAATTTTGAATTAGTCCCCTTGACTAAATTATGTTAGTGACATAAGCAAACTTGTGACATTACTTTTCTTTCAATTTTATACTTCATTATGGATCTTTGAATCATATTAAAACATAATTCACATAAAGTTTATTTTTAAAAGAATACTACTTTGGAATCAATATGCAATCTTGCTAAAATAGTATGTGTCTTTTTTATGGTCCTCCAACTAATATACATCGATTGTTACAACCTAATGTGAAAGAAAATTGTATATAAAATATGTAGTTAATACAAAGATTTTGAAGCAAAAGTTTAAGAGAAAATAACTCAAGGAAATGCAGTGGGTATTATCATTATTTTCACAATATTCACTGTGACTCTTAGAGAAAGATGAATAAAAACATAAGGACTGAACTTTTAGCATCCTTTCACCATGTTTTCTTTGTTCCTTTTTCTTTTGTCCTTTGTTTGCTATAGCTTCATTTTAGTAAAAGAATGATACAACTTGAAAATAGTGCAAAGTACACGTTAAAATTTTAATGCATGTAATGTTTATGATTATGTGTCCATTTTTTAAAAATATTCAAAGTTTAAAAGAAAGTTAGAGATAGACATGGTGTATACTTAGAGGAAATGAACATGAGCTCAATCGTTTTCCTATTTTACTTTAGTGAAGTAGAAAGTAATAAAATTTGGCAAAATTACCCACAAAATTGATGTTTAAAGTCTAAATTTGTGAGGATATTTTCAAATATTTCCATATTTACCAAGTATAATACTACTGAAGGAGAAACTAAATATCAGTTGTCTTTTCCTTTTTGTTAAGTTCAACTCTTTTTTGGTCATATAAATTAATTAATATTTTCTATCTCTAGGGTTCTTAGAGAAGTGTCATTAAGAAACTGATATCAGTGTCTCAAGACCTTTGACTTATTTAATTAATCCCCTGAATTTTCATAGTTTAAATATTATGAATGCATCGCTCTCTTAAATATATTAAATACACATCTTTGAAAACATGAACTCTAAATGGAAGCTCATGTTTTATCAATATTGTGACTTCAATTTATAGAGCATCCATTAAAATGGTAATAGTACTGAGTTGTACTAATTTGCAAAAGGCTTCAACCTCCATACCATTTGTTTCCCTCAAACTAGTGTTTATTTTGAGAAGATTTTTATCAAGTTTTTCTAATCTTGTAGTCCCCTTAACACTCAGGAACTTGGGTGTCCCTTCTGGTTTGTACTAACCTTGATTGTCTGTGCTGTGCAATATTCCTATGCATTTCCAATTTGAATTATCATGAAGCTTACCTGGGTGGAATTATGTTTCTAAATTTATAAAAAATAACTTCTATTATTAAAATGCATAGGTTCAATACATAGGCTCATTATATTCATTGTTATAATTTCTAATAGAAAACAAACTTGCAAAACGAAAATTAATTCTAACATAAAGTTACACTTTTTCAATTTACTCTAGTGATAATTATCTTGCAACTCCAAAGGATTTTGCCTTTTCCTTGATTTTCTGTAACGCTGAGTAGGTAACATGTCATAACTGAATCCAAAATATATAACAATCATACATAAATCAATTCAGTTTAATGTGGTAACTAAAAGTATTTGAGAAGACAAACACTAAGGCTATGAAAGAAAAAATGACTATTTTCATGTGTTTATAAAAATACAGAGTAATTCTACCCCATGAGATTTATAAATGGCAATAAATCAATTTACATTTTCTATAAAACAATTATTGGAGCTATTTTAGAAGCAGAAGATCCATCATTGATGGAAAATTAACAAATAAGAATATAATGTCCATAATATATAAAGAATTCAAAAAGAATAGACCCTAATAAGACCCTTTATAATCCAGTGAATAAATGGGTAAATAGTTAAACAGATAGTTCTTCTCAGAGGATGTACAAATTGCCAATAAATATTTTTTAAGCTCCCAGAATCTTAGCCACCAGGTAACTGCAAGTCAAAACTACATTGAGATTCCATTTCACACCAATAAGAATGGCTATTATTAAGAAATCAAACAACAAAGTCTGATGAATATGCAGGGAAAAGAAACCTTTATGCAAGCTGGTGGGAATATAAATTAGCCCAATTACTATGGAAATCGTAATGATGATGCCTAAAAAAAGCTGAAAACACAACCACCAAAGGTTCCAACTGTACCAGTTTTAGGTATACACTCAATGGAATCCAAGTTAACATGCAACAGTGATACCTGCACAACCTTGTTTATTTTAGTGCTGGTCCTAAAACTCAAATTAAAGAATCAGCCCAGATGTCCATCAACACATGGATGGAAATAGAAAATGTAGTACAAGTCTACATGTATAACTCAGCCATAATGAAAAGAAAATTGTATCATTTCCAAGAAAGTAGTTAAAACTGAAGGTCATGTTATGCAAACCAAGATAAACTCAGAAAGACAAATGTCATGTTTTCTTATATGTGGAAAGTATACTTAAAAATTATAAAACTTGAAAGCCAAGAGAGTACTAGTTATAAGGAGGGTGACCTCTGTCACAGTACAGAAGATGACAGTGGAGATGAATAAGATCCAACTTCATGACATACATGCATGAGAAAGCATGAGACTGTCCCAGTGAAACCTTCTATTGTACAATGAACATACACTAATACAAGTAAAATGACTTAGACTGGTCTAAATAAGAAACCATTGCTTCAGTTTTAAGTGCTCCTGAAGCCTCTAATGGAATTTATGTTTATAGAACTTTCCATATTTATGACTTCTGCGCATCATCTCAAGTACCAAATTGGACATATTTTTCCATATTTATAATTTTATAAAGTGATTTAAGAGTTAAACATTGGAATGTTTAGGAAATTTGAGCATATACATCCCTACCTACTTTTCCTATTACTTTCTAACAGTGGTCCTTGTACTTCATTGCGCCTAAGAATCACTCTAGGAACTTGTTAAAAATATAGACCATTGGACTTTCCCTGGAGATACCGATTCAGGAGGCTGCTCAGCCCACAGAAACGTGTGTTTTAAATAAGGACCTGTATGATTGGATTCATATACAATAACATCCTCACTTAATGAGCTGAATGTTATAAATTGGCAGAAAGTACCATAGTAATCAACTAGAAATAATCTATTATGTTTAGTACATTAGGCTCTGTTTACTATCAAATCCATATTCACATCATAGAACATCTAGACATTTTTGCAGATATATTATTCAAATGAGTTATAAGCACTTAAAACAATATTGAAAGTAATAAAACAAATATTCTGAAAGTTATATCTACCCCATTCCATAAATCCAGATTATTTAGGAAAGGCCGTTCTTACTCTGTTGTTCTTCTGCTTTGAATATATGGAATCGTTTCCTGTAAATCATGTCACAGTTATCCCTTATTTCTTCCAGTATATTTACAACCTTTTACCTTTTTCTACTTAACTTTAGAGCAACCGTCTAAGCCTGAAATTGTAAACAAAGCACCATTTCTTGAAACAGAGCAGCAAACAAAGGTGAGAATTTTTTATTAACTACTTTTTAAAAATGTTTTTATTGATTTTTGTGGATTTCATACACTATATCTTAATCATATTTAGGCCCCCTTCCCTAGATGCACTCCGCCTGCAGAACTTCATGCATTTTGTCATATATGTTAAGTTCTATTGAGTCAATTCAGTGTAGATGTTAAGACATACAAGATAGACTTGCTTTTAAGGAATTCATAGGGCTTCATCTCCAATCAGAGAGCAAAGAGAGGCACAGCAGGAACAGTCCCTTTGCTTACCTCACTGTCCCTTTGACCATGACCATGGGCATGTGAAGGAAGGCATGACCATTTCTAAAGGACTTTCTGATGTGAATGAAGCAGATACTTGATAGACTCGATGAAGTATAGGCAACTTTCTTCCAGACAAAATATAGGAAGGGCCTTCCAACAAAATGAAATAATGGGATGTGAAAGAGAATAGCATATCTGGGAAAATTCAGATTTGGGAATTTCAGAAACCTTGGGTGCTAAGATAGTAGAAAAAAGAGAAGTAAAAATATTGAGGTTAAGATAAGCTTTATGGGGCTGGAGAGGTGGCTCAGAGGTTTAAAGCACTGGTTGTTCTTACAGGAGACCCAGGTTTGAATCCTAGCACCCACATGGCGGCTAACAACCATCCATAACTCTAGTTCCAGAGGATCCAATGCCA